CCCTCCCCGTAGATGACATCGACCTGGGAGATGAGATCAGCATCTGGCCGTGTGACGCCAACTCGGACTCTTACGGCGCGTTCAGGTGTCAGACCAACATCTCCTCCTGTCTGCCCGGCTGGGTGGGCCCCAACGACGGAATCACCAGCTTTGACCACATCGGATACGCCATGCTCACAGTGTTCCAGTGTATCACGATGGAGGGCTGGACCACTGTTTTGTATTATGTGAGTGTGTGTGTGTGTGTGTGTGTGTGTGTGTGTGTGTGTGTGTGTGTGTGTGTTCCAGTGTATCACGATGGAGGGCTGGACAACTGTTTTGTATTATGTACGTGTGTGTGTGTGTGTGTGTGTGTGTGTCTGTGTCTGTGTGTCTGTGTGTGTCTGTATGTGTCTGTGTGTCTGTATGTCTGTGTGTCTGTGTGTCTGTGTACTGTAAACATATATTGTACCTCAGTAACGTTTGTAGTTTAGTCTATTTGCAGACGTCTTTTTTTTTCTTATAGAATTATCATTGGGTTTTTTCGCCTTTACCTTCGTCATTAATGTTTTCCCTGCATGTTTATTACATGTAAATCTTTGCAGCAAAAATGATTTTAAAAATTTATTCGTAAAAATTTCTGAGCCAGTAATGTGTTGTGATGTGTTTGGCCAGGCATCTGCTTTTCCCGCTTCAATTATCCCGAATTACCTCATCAATTACTCCCCGGGGAAACCACTTTCACCAAACGAGCGAGACTTATTTTTAACCTGCCCAAGACATCTCTGCATAGTTTCCCTATTGATCTTGTTTCTAGGTAATGGTGTTTGTTTGGTTCAAAATGAAGAATGTGTGTACTTTTTCAATGTTTCTTCTATTGATTTCATCTTTGTTTGTTTCTCGCTGTGTTCCCCAGACAAATGATGCCTTAGGGAACTGGTTCAACTATTTATATTTCATTCCTCTCATCATCGTTGGCTCCTTCTTTATGCTGAACCTTGTGCTGGGAGTTCTGAGTGGGTGAGTTGACACACTGGGGCTGAGTCACATGCACGTGCGAACATACGCAGACATACGCACTCTCACACACACACACTCACACACACTCACATACACACATACACACATACACACGCACACAGACACACACTCACACACACACACACACATACACACACACACACACACA